TTATAACAAGTATTCTTTCCAAAAATATAATGAGCTGCATGTAACCTTGAGAGCTCTATTCGAAAAGCCTAGATAATTATCTTTTAGGGAAATAATAAAAAGTCTAATTTATATGACCTCTAAAACCACTTCCAAGTTAGACCATATCTAAGAAATCCAATGTAAAGGCTTATAATGCCTTTTTTATAAGCTAGGTAAAACTGATACTTCTAAACTAAAACTGCAAGTAGAACAGGTAAAAATAGGGCAGAAATAAGGAAAGCAAACATGCATTTAATTCTAGTAACTCCATTCACAGATACTTTATATTTATTACTTCATTTAATCACAGTGTAAACAAGATTCAGAATTTATGTGCATTTGCAACAATTCCTCGAATTTGTTAAGACAAGTGAACAGATATGATGTTGATGGGGGGGGGAGAGGGGGGAAAAGGAGGAATTGGTATAGGGACCACAAAATCAACTATACTGTATATTGATAAATTAAATTTTTTTAAAAAAATTTTAATAAAAAAAGAATTTATGTGCATTTGTCAGAAAAGAACACGAAAAGGAAATATTAATTGATGATTTAATATAATGAAACAAAATTAGTACAGCTAATGAGGAAAATGACCAAAATAGATAAAATTTGTTCTGAAATATTATTAATTTAATATTTCATAAAGTGTGGTTGACAGCTTTTCTAAAGATACAGTTTCTTATGGAGTATTTAAAATACATATTTCTTGAATTACAATGCTAATGGGATAAACCCATAGAGAAGGGACTAAATCAAATACTTAGAAGTTATTACAAAAGAAAATGAAGTACAGATTAACAAAAAATAGTAACCAAGAATGAATTCACATAGAGATCAAGCTGTGATAGACCATAATATCCTACAACACTTCTATTTCCACTACTGGAAACTCACTCAGTACCAGGTAATTAGAAGGCACTCAACAAATATGTGTGGAATGAGTGAATTAATGAATGAATGAATACCAACTATCAAGATGAAGAGCTATAAATAGAGACACTGTGAACTGTTGTCATAGCCAAACTAAAATCTCCCTTATACAAGTGTACTTCAAAATGTTCATGAAATACTCATACTATCTTTTAATTCTACTTTTCCATGAAGTTTTTCAAGTACTCTCATATGTGTTTTGAAAATAACTGCCTTTTCTTTTTTAAATCCCTACTTTCAAGACAATTGTACTACTCATTATCAATTGTCTTTGAAAATGTAGCCCAGTATAGTCATTCCTCAGTAACCTTGGGGGTTTGGTTCCAGGACCTCCCTCTTAAGTCCCTAACATATAATGGCATAGTATTCCCATATAACCTATGCACATCCTCCTACATACTTTAAATCATCTCTCATTACTTACAATACCTAATACAAATAAAAACTAAAAGAACAAACACAATACAATGTAAATGCCGTTTAAATAGTTGTTATATTGTTTAGGAAACAACAACAGGAAAAAAAAGTCTATACATGTTCTGTGTGGAGGCAATTTTTTTTCCCAAATATTTTTTGATTCATGGTGGGTTGAATCCATGGATGTGGAACCCACACATAAGGAGGGCCAACT